AATTTTTTAAATATTTTTTGATAATTTTCATTATGTATTTTGTCTCTGTTTAAAATCCATTCATTGTGTGTACCGGAAGCTAATTTCAAAATTTATGGATGATTAAAGTGATCTTCATTGTGGGTATGTAGTGGTAGATTGTAACATGTTGATTTTTTAGTGGGTTGTCAATAACCTTGTGCATTTTTTGAAGAGTTTGCTGTGAACATTATCGGTTTCCGTAGCTTTTGATTGAAAATCATTTTATAGGTTGATAGTACTAAGGTTGTTGTTATTTGTGAATTATAAGATAAGGAGAATAGTTTTACAGATTTTGACCATTCATTCTATCGTGTGTCATTTCCGTTAATGATACATCAGAGATATTCTTGTAATGAACGGTTCATGCCTTCGACTATTCCATTAGTTCAAGTTGCCTGAGATATACGTGGTTTGTGTTTAATGTTATCTAAGTGGCATAGTGGAATTGTTTCGTTGTTTATAAATTCAGTGCCATTGTCTGTAAAAAGGATTTCGGGTAATCCGAATTTTGCTATCCAGTGATCATAAAGTGCTGTGTATGCATAATAAGCATTACAATGGGGTACTGGGTTAAGTGCTACGTAGTGTGTAAATTCGTCGACTATGACCATTATATATGAGTTTCCTTCTGAGGATGGTGATTTTGGTGCTTTTGTATCAAATGAAATTCTCTGATTGAAATATAGACTATGTCCTTTAAAATCTTGTTTTTCTGCATTTTTTTTGGTTTGGGTATGGTTTGTTTAATTGGCATGTTATACAATCATTGCATAATTCTAAATAGGTGTCCATATATTCCGTGGAGGTTGCAGTGCAAGTTTATTGGTGCGCAAAGTACTGCTACGCTCAAACTCTGTTAGTACACAATTTTTTCATTTTGCATTTTCTTTGTTTTTGAATATATTGAAATCTTGAAAAATTTCTCCCTAGCGCAATTCAAAATGTATTCATCTAAGTTTTTATCCTATTTATAGCCAATAGTCATCTCTGGGACCCAAAGTTCTTAAAATTTTATTTTTTGACCCTAGTTTTGGTGGTTGCGTTTCTTTAGGTATATTTTGGTAAATTTTATATGTGCTTGAACATTCTGTGGGTTTTTCTTCTGTTATTTCTTCTACTGTTTTTTCTAATGTCTTGTTAGTGCTTATAGGTATTGTATAATAATTTAAGAGGAAGCGATCATGATTTTGATAGATATGGGAATGTATTGGTTGTTTGTATATAATAGGTTTGTAGTCATTTTCAACATGTATCATGTTAATTGAAATTGCATTGTCGCTGTAGTGTGATTACGAGGTCATATCTTTCGTCGTTATTTATCCAGATGGGTTTTGTTTGTTTCCTAAATTGTCTCTTGACATAAGGTTTAGGATGATGGATGCAATATTGGGGTTAGTGATTTCTAGTGTCTTAAGCTGTTAGTTCTTACAATTTTTTGTGGTTAACTTAACTCGGAGCGGATTTGTCGGGTTGGAGAGAAAAGCATATACCGAATCGTGAGAAATATTTTTAGTTTCTCGTGGAAAATTATAAATTAGGATAGACTTACCTTATCTTACTTAGGGGTTGTGATTTGTGATCAAGGGTTGGAGAATAGTAAATCGATCCTCAAGGTTAAGGTATAATTAGAACGCAAGTAGTTCGTAAGATACTATTTTATGACCTCCTATGTTTGAGTGTTTTAGCCTGGGTCATTTAAGCGGAAGGGGATCAAGTGAAGCATGAGTAACCAAAGCTCTTCAGTTTTTATCCTAATCAGAATGGTTAGCTAGTTAAAAAAATTCTGTTAATTCTGAGTCTTTAACAAGGGTTGGGAATTGAATCGACGTTTGAGGTCGTTAGACATTAAATATTATGGGAGGGGGAGAACAAAACTGTTCTATTTGATCCAGGGATAAGATTGATGATCAGAAATTTAGATTTAATTTAAATTAATTTAAAGATCCAAGGGAAGCCTTAATAACCAGAAATTTAGATTTAGTTTAAATTAACTTAAAGATCCTAGGGAAGCATTGATGATCAGAAATGTAGATTTAATTTAAATTTATTTAAAGATCCAAGGGAAGCCTTGATGATTTTTTATTTTGAATGAAATTAATTTAAGTGAAAACAAGGATAAGCCTTGATAATTTTTCGATGAAAAAAGTTGAGTTAAAAATGTTAAGTTTTTAGTTTTGATGTTTGTTAGTTTTTGAGATTTGCTGTTTTGTTCTAGGTAATGAAGCTGGAATGAAAGAATGGCTTATATAAACTACCAATTTATGCTTTATACTAACTAATTTTTGTAATTTATATTCAAAAAATATTTTTTTCAAGATGTTTTCAATTTACAGCAGATTTTTCAAGGAGAACGACTAATGTTGTTTTTATCGGTCGTTATTGTATGATTATTAGGTTAAGCGCCATGAAAGGTTATTGAAGATGTTTCTTCAAAATTTATTTTATGTCAGTAATTGAAAATTTAAGTTTACTGCTGGAAGTATTCTAAATATAAACGTTTGATCTGGTGTTTGTCGTACAATCATGAAATCGATTGGTAAATTTCTTCCTAGTCGTACGTCGTCTCTTGTTCGAGGTCTTCATCCAAAACCGGGTAGTTCTCGTATTGTTCGGAAAATTGGCTCTGATATATTGAGTCATAGAGTCAATTCTACCAAATTTTTGTCATAAAACTTTTTTTTTAAATGTGGTCTTTGTCTAATACTAATCTATTTTTTCTAAATCTAGGTTATTTAAGGTCTGTTCGAGACTTTTAGTCGCACCAGATGAGTTATGTTTTATGTACTATACTCATAGAATAATTTAAGATAATGTACACCGTCTGCTCGTCACGCTATCTTATTTTCGGCCGGATAGATTCGTGCAACTTCTTAGTCTAATACCAATCTTAATCTTACTCTTATATATCCTAGAAATTTTTTTCTAGTATTACAGGGCTTAAAAATTGGTGCCATTTTGACCGCTTTATAGTTTCAGCAAAAGCAAAATTTTATGCCTGGAGGGTGATAGTCAAGACCAGTACTGTTCGTAGCTTAGGTTATAAGAGGAGCGCAAAAATAGCCAGCAACTTAAGGATACAAAAGTTTTGTTTACGGAAATGTTTGTTATGAAAGTGTGAATGTATCCGCAAGCAACTACTTGTATCAAGGTGAATTCTTAAGATTCCGATTGCCTTACAAGTATGAGATGAAAAAACATGAAAAATGATGGGGACGAATGATTTTTTGATAAATTTATTTGAAAATTATTATATCACAATCAATGTCAAATGACATTTACTAAACAGTATGTTTGATGAAATAGTTTTAACGAAGTTAAAAAAAGACATCACTCAGTACCTCAGTCAGTCCCCGATGCCCCCAGAGTCAAGAGAGATACAGAGATCAACTTCACGCAGTACCTAAGTCTCAGAAGCCCCAGAGTCAAGTTAGCCACACGGTAATACATCAAAGTCTACATCAGGGATAGTCTCAGAGGTCCCCCTCCAATAGGAAACATCAAAGTCTACCTCAAGTACAGTCTCATAGGTCCACCAGCTGTCCCCCTCAGCGTCAGAACACAGCAAATCAGGCTATATCGGACTTTTTAGTAAATGTTTATAGAACTTTCATTATGCTAGAAGTTTTTATAGACAACACTGTATGGTGTCGTTTTTTAGTTTACCTTGACCATCGACTTCAACCAGGTCAGGTCTTTTTTTTCTTTTTTGTTAGTAAACAACTATTTCCAAACAAAATTGGCTATATTTTGAATACTCATAAGAGTGCTACTTATTCGAAATTCCTATTCAAACTGTCCAAACCCATAATTGTGCTACAATTCAAAACTGAAAACAAATCTATAGTGCTATTTGAAAATTTATAGTTTTCATTGTGCTTTTTTTTTATTAGTTCTTAATCCTCGGGGTGTAAAGGTAAATTTTTTCCGGTTAGAAAACACTGATAGCCAAAACTGGATAGCCAAAATTTCCTTAACCAAAAACCGAAAAAAAAGCGAAATCAATGTAACATACTAGTCCAAAATCTTTCTCATTTTTTTTGAAAACTTAAGAACGCCTATAGCGTAATATTTCCATTACAAAACTTGAACCATTGAGGTCTCAGAAGTTTTCGCATTTTATTCAAAAGGTTAAATTATGTTCTCAGCTAAGTTTCGCCGCTAAAAAAACTATCAAAGGTATTTGGTACTTAATAGTTGAAGTACGTGACACTTCATAGTTTCCTAAAAGCTTATAAACGCCCTATACGAATACGCACGCTCGTAGTGCCAACAGGACTGTTTGTATTTAGTCTACAAAAAAAACAAATGATACCTAAACCTACTTTCGTCCATTCCATAACTGCTCTTCTAACATTATTATACCATTCCTATGATCTTTTTACTACTTTAACGATGGCTCCAAAATTCTCCCAACAAGCGCTCACACTAAATGGACGTTTCGCTACACTTC